TAGGTAATTAATTTTAATTTTTAGTTTCTTTTTAACCATATGGTCACACTCTTTTAGTTGAACATGTGCAGTTTTGTCTCAAATATTTTCTTCACTACTCAAAAGTGTTCTTCCGGTAGAAAATGTCTTTAGACGTAAGAAAATTCAAAAGTCTTTCTACTTGTAATCAACTCACTGTAAGATATTTTCTGACACTTCAAATATATCCAAAGTAACTCAGCCCATGTGACACACTTATTTCAAATAAAATCTCACTATTGTCCTTTTTTTTTTGACTAAACCATCATTTATATAACTTATTTTGTTTTCTCACGTGGTGGAGACTAGAGGACCCCATATGCTATAACAAATAGGGAAAATTCCATATTAATACACAACTTTAATTCTTATTTCCAGTTTAATACATAGATTTTTAGAGTTACCAGAAAAATACACAAACTAAATTGTTTTGTTTGTTTAATACATCATGTAAATCTCGTGTATCCATATTACTTGGGCCTATTAACACCGTTATCAAAACTGTTAACAGTGTATAATAATCGTTAGTTTTTGTCGTTTGTGGTAACCCATGGTTAAGAAATTAACCTTAAACTTAAACGATGTCGACTTGTGTAAACTTCTAATTCCTCCAAATCAAAAACCCTAATTTCACCAAAATCTTTTCACGTAACAAATCATTGACTACTTCTCTATAGGAATGTTCGTCGTTACAGTGTAACAACTTACAGTACGAAGATGAGGTAAGGGTTAGAAGCCATCTTGATTGTCTTTTTTTTTTTGCTAACTTAGCCATCGTGATTGACATCGTTTGTTTTATGATTTTTTTTTCTGAGAATCAGTCATAGTTTTTATTTTTGTTTTTACAGTAACATTGATGGTGCTTTGAAGATGAACATTCGATATGGTGGGTTAATGTCATACAAAAGGAAGAAGTTCTCTTACAGTGGTGGAGTTTGTGTTAGAGATTTTTCTGTCGACCCAGATCTCCTTACATGGTCAATTTTCGAGGAGTTTATAGCTGACAGAGGAATCAAGAATAAAGTGGAGCAGGTTTGGTATAAGGTAGTGAATGAAGATATCTCTTCGGCTAGATCAATATACAAAGACAAAGATGCCGAGATTAGAGAGTTGTGTAAAGAAACTGAAACTGGTCGTGGTCGTGGGCGTCCTCCTGGACGAGGACAAGCACGTAGAGAGGTCGTTCCAAGGGGGCATGGAGTCTACATAAGTCCATTTACTGATAGAGTTTTTGAAGTTTATGGAGATCGTTCAAGAATTATAGGCTCTTCTTCTAAGGAATGATTGTGTGGCTTATCTTTTGTTTTAAAACTCTGGTTATTATGTCAAATTTGGATGTTTATCTTCTGTTTCAGAACTCAAGTTATTAAGATTTTAAAATTCTAGGTACTATTTTAAATTTGGATGTTTGTCTTCTGTTTCAAAACTCAAATTATTAAGCTTTTAAAACTAGTTATGACGTTAAATTTGATTTTGTCTTCTGTTTCAGAACTCAAATTATTAAGCATTTTAAAGCTTTTTCTGCAACACAAAATGCTAGAATTAACCCATATTATAAAAAAGAAGTCACCGACAATACAAATACGTAAGAGCAACAACACTACTAACCACACAAACTGTGGAGATTAAAGTTAACTTAACTTTAAAAACAAGTTTCTTTTTTTGTGTTTAAGTTCTCTCTCTCTCTCAGTTTGAAGTGAATCTCTCATGTGTGTTTGTTTGGAAACTAAAAACACAGAACATAAAATGTAAAGACACAGGGAATTTAACGAGTTCGGGCCCTTGGGAGGACGCCTACGTCTCGCCGGAGAAGATCCGGAAAATCCACTAAGAACTTGCTCAAAACCGAGCCTTTAATCTTTACACTTCTCTCTGTTAAAGAATAGAGTGCGTGTGTGGAATGTCTGATACATGTTCTGTATATAAAGAGACATGAAGTAATGAACAAACCAGAGTTAAATAAAGTGATCAGTTTCTTAACTCTGGTTCCTTTGTCTCTTTGCACCATTAACGCCAAGAGTAAACGGCTCCTTGCAGGCCTGCATTCTTTGTCTCCTCTTTTGGTGCGTTGCTTCAGTGTACGGTTCTGTCTCGTATCAGAGTTCACAAGTTTGTGGAGGATAAAACTTATCCTTTGAACCCTCTGTCTCAGACTGAGACACTTGCCTTTCTATTTCTGTTGAAACCTTTTCCTTGAAACAAAGTCTTTAGTCTTGTCTTGTCTCAGACCAACTTCAACGGTTTCTTCTTCTTCTTGAAAGACCTCTCTGTTACAAACAGAATTTAGGATTCAAACTAACCTACACACAAACAGACACGACGAACAAGACAAACACATAAAACACTACTAGCCACACAAATAGACACGAACAACAATACAAACACATAAGAGCAACAACTGGTTACTTTAATCCATGAACAATCGTAGCAACAACAAAACCCACCCATGGGGATTACAAAGTGTCACAGCATTGTCACCTTCTCCTTCATAGTCTCTAGTTCAGTTTTGAGGTTCATATTTTCATTCTCCATGACAGTCAATATTTTTGCTTTCTCTGTTCTTCTTCCATCTACGCCACTACTGCCAATTTCAACCAAATTATGCTTTCTCATTCCCTGCATCTTCTTTTGCTCTGACTGTAACCCAACAATTACACCTTTCTGCTCCTGCATTACATCTCGTGCTTCCAACAACGCTAAATTATGATTTGTTCCGTGGAAAGCAATGAGAGATTTTGGAGAAATTAGGGCTTTTGATTTGGGAAACTAGAAATATTATAAGTCGACAGCGTTTAAGCTTAAGGTTAGTTTATTAACCATGGGTTAGTGTTAAACGACAGAAATTAACGATTATTATACGGTGTTAACAGTCTTGATAATGGCGTTAATGAGCCAAACTAATATGGATACACGGGATTTAGTTAATGTATTAAACAAGCAAAAATATTTAGTTTGTGTATTTTTCTGGTCACTCTAAAAACTTATGTATTAAATTGGAAATAATAATTAAAGTTGTGTATTAATATGGAATTTTCCCTAACAAATATTACCTATAATGAGGTATATTGCATTTATGAAAATAATAAAACCGTTTAATTTTACTTTATTAAATTCGTTATTCTAATCAATATATTTATTATTCTATTCATTATTACTTTTTAAAATTCATATTTTCAATTAAAAGTTATGTTTTCTATCAAATAATTTTGTCTTTATAAATACAAAAAACATTTCCTCTCAAAATAAAATAAAAAATCATCAAGATCACCAAATTATATTTTTCGTCAAAAACATAAAATCACATTTTTCATCAGACTGTAAAGTTACACCTCATGTTAAAATCATACTTCGTTTAACTGAAAATTGTATTTTTTGTAAAAATCACAAATTTTTTTTTTTTACGAAATTATGAAAAATTATGAAAATTGCATTTTTCATATTCATTGAGTTTTCCTCTTCCAATGTTTCTATTCTTTTTTTATTACATGGTTCCTGATTGATTGGAAATCAAATTCATATGGACATTTCATATAAAGTGTGTCCACAAAATAGCGTTTAAATTAACAATTAGATATTTTATGCTGTAAACAATAAGCTATATAGTGTCATAAACATAATCACTTAAAAAATTGATGAGTAATTATGTGAACAGTGGACTATGAGTACTCAAAACTATATATATCTAATGGTTTCCATCCATTTGTGGATACTTTCGTGTATAGAGTTTTAGTGGATAAGTATCCCAATGTTAAAAATTAAAATCATATTGCATCATCCATCACACTTCATTCATATATACTCATCCACAAAACAATATTTTTGTTTGTTATATTATCTATCCATTACTTATATGTCCATGAAGTATCCATCCACGACTTAGATGTCTATACTCTTCATGTATAATTATTAAGTTTAAACATGTTTTACATTTCTAAATTTCAAAACTATATTAAAATGGATGTCAAAACATAAAAAATAAAAATATAAAATTTATTATACAAATCATATTATTTTAAATTTTGTAAGAACTAGCAAAAAATAAATAAATGGTTAATTGATAAAAATAAGAACAAATAGAAAAATTGCTTTCTCTTTACGTCCAAACATAAAATAATAGGTAATTAGTTGTTTTATGTGTCTTTTAATAAGACGGTCCCATTTTTTTAGTTGAATAAGGACAGTTTTGTTCCGATTATTTTTTTCTCTACTAATTTCCAGCATAAAATATCTTTATACTTAAAGAAAAGTGAAACAGTGCTTCTATATATAATCAACTCTAAAAAGAGTTATCTAGATACATACGAAAAGAAGATAAATACAAAAAGATTAACCTAATCCTAAAACATGAATAATCCACAATCTCATTTTAGAGATAGAACCGAGATTGTTTAGGCAGTTAAGATGTTCTGTATCATATGAAATCTTCCATCTCAGCGACAAAAATTAGTTTTCTTTTGTTAATTTTCTTAATCAACTCTAATTTGGTTTGAAACAGGTTCTCACACAAAGATTTCCGAAAAACTCTCTAAACTTCACCTAAACAGCTTTGTAGAGTTCAGCATTTACGTTAACTGCATAATCAAGGCTAAAATGATTGCCAAGGCCAACATAACCTAGTAGTTCGACGCCCCGGATCAGTATATACTTAATTTGGGTATTATATATCAAGTTCTCTGGTACTTTTCCGTTAGACAATCTTATGTTTGAATACGACTAAACTAACGAATTCATCCATGTAATTAAAAGTAGCACACATTATTTCATATTCCATTTAGACTCAATACATGTCGAGCTAAAGTATACGCAACAATCACACAAAGTGTTCTTTGACAAATGACAAAAAGAAAAATCACACAACTTATTGTACGAAGCACATTTCCAAAACGAAAATAAATAAATTATAAAGGCCATACAGTAACACACTTACGACGTACTTATTCATGCAGTAACAACATGCAGCACTTATCATCTTCAATTCTTCATCACTTGGCCTTGACATCTTTTCCATCAACAACTGATGGGTTAAGCTCTTCCCACGCCTCAATCCAAGCGACCATTGCATCAGCCAATTTCTCAAAGTACGGATCAACTTCAGTAAGCTTCTCCTTTGTCATCTTGGACAACTCCATATAGCATTTAGCGGCAGTGTCAGATTCTTTCGAGAGACGAAGATTTTGGAAGAAAGGCACCATATCTTCTTGCCAGTGAAGTCCCTTGTGTTCTTTCTTGAGGTTCACAAACGGGTTACTCGCTTTGCTATGCCACAAATACGGCAGACCTGTTTTGACCCCAAAGCCCAAGTGGTCGCACACCACTTTAGCTGCCCAACCAGCCCACATGTCATCATACCGGGAAATGGGCTGGCCTTCACCCATAAGGCCGAAGTACATAGCAGGTCCAATAAGTTCTCTATTAAAAGCAAGATTCATGCCACACATTGGGTACAATACACCTTTGGGGATTGTCATCACTGCATCAACATACCTGCAAGGACTATTGTAGAGTTTATATCCAAGGTTATAAATACGTCATAGACCCATATAACATAATAAATAAATAAACTGAATCGAAATATTTTTGAACATTGGTCTATAACCAAAACTACTAAAATCAAGGATCTTGATTTGTATATTATGACCTGATGTTACGTTCACGAGGCTTCACGAGCTGGGTCGGCGCATCGTAATCAGGGATGTTGAGCCAAAGGCCATGAGATATGGCGGTTGTGACACCTTCCCTCAAACTGAAAGGGTATCCTCTCACAAAGTCAGTTCCATCTCTAAAAGGGTCATAGAGAGTGTTGAAGTAGTGTGGTGTTGAAGGTGTCTCAAGGTTCTTTATGTGTTGAGCTATCACATTGATCTCTTTCCCACTTGGATCTTTTGCCACCTATTTTCAAGGATTTCATTGAGTTGCATGGATATGAACATAAACGTAAAAAGGAGAGGAGAGCAAAAGACACTTACAAAGCAATCATCATCAATGGTGTAGATATACTTCTTCTTGGAAACCATGAAGCCGAAGCAACGACATCCACCATCCTTGTAGGAAATACAACCAGCTCTAGGACCAAGGATCCTGTTAATATCGTTACGGTTATAGAGCTCGTAGTCATAACCCTCGGGAACTTGGATATTGATCGAAGGGTCTCCATCTTGGACAATGATCAAATGGTAATGCTTGAGAAATGGCTTCCATTGTTCTAGAAAGTCAAGGCTCCTGATCGTTGGGATCACAATATCAAGATCTTCCTTTAACGGTGCGGCTTCAATAGCTTCGAGGTTGTAGCCCGCCATTTTTGGTACTTTGAGAGCTAGACAGCTGTTTATGAGATGGATGTTTTTGAGTGGAAGGGCAGATGGTTTATATAACCGTTTCAGAAACTAAAATTTCATTTATTTCTCAAAGTTTTTGACCTCTAAGAATATCCGACTGTCAAAGGATTTGCACTAATTAAACAGTCTCTACCAAATGGTCTACATTTTTTCTAAATTTGTTGTCGTTTGAATATTGCGATCACTAGAATTTATATTGGTTAAATCTCGCTATCGAGAAAATTTAACTGATCGAAGTTGTTGTCTATCTTAATATTTTTTTTGTCCTGTTGCTTAAAAGGCACGGTTGTTTTTATACAGAACATATAACATTTTGGGAATACAAATTAACCATTTACCAAATGGAAAATACGGTCTTCAACCTACGTAATACTTAAGTTGTTAATAGGTACCTGTTACCAAATAATGTTTTTGTTAAACCATCAAATGAAACTTTCTCTTTATTATACCTTACTGATTAACAAAAGAAACGTTAAAGGTAGTCACAAACTAATATTGGGATTGCTTAAGTGGAACAACAAAAGATTAAAATCAAATCTCGATCAATATTTCCTAAGAATTTCTTTGTTTCTTGGTAATACTATTTACGTATACCCAGTTCCTTATTTTGAATTATTTTACCAGCCATTTTCCCCCTGTTTTACAGTTTCTCTTAAACTATTTCAATTAAAGATTAAATTTAAAATTGTCAATAGCTCTAGTTAGTTAACTGGCCTAGATCTAAAATTTTGACAATTGAAAGTAATGACAAAAAGGCGTTGTTGCGTTATAATCTCCAAGAAATTCACAATAAGGTAATGAACCATATAGAGTGTTGACGATGATGGATCAGCTGTAACCTGAGAAGTGAGAATTCGATGTCTCTGTTTTATTAGTATTTATATACTAATATCAGTGTCCACACAAAATCACTTAAATCTCTCCTTTAATATACTTCATCAACTGATAACGTATGCATTTGTAGTAAATTATAGTGTTATAGTATTTTCGATTTTCTTTTAAAAAAAAGCTGAAGAATAAACATAAATTTGCCTACTGATATCGCTTTATTTAACAAAAAAAAATTTGTATACATTAGACCACAATGTAATATATAGATTATATGAGCATGAAAAATATTTCAAAGTAATGATTAGAAATTTGTGATATTGAATCACTTTTTGAATGTCAAATTATATTTATACAAAAAGAAACAGTTTGTACGTTAAGTGCAACTAAAAACCAAATTCAGTATTATCTATAAGCTTTCCTCTTACAAGCTAATGCAAAACCAAAAATCGAATGAGCTCTTAATGTTTTTTGTTATTTGAGAAACGAAAGTGATATATCATGGTTTTGTCACTTTTTGACCATGCTACAAGTCATATATTTAGAATCTATATTATATGTTTGGAGTTATTTTTGAATTTTCTTAGGTCTATGTACGTTTTGGATAACTTTGAAGATTTTAAAAACAATTTGAGATGCAGAACTATGCCAAAGCGTTACAAGTTTAACAATAGATGGAGGACTTCTCACTAATGGACAAAACTCATATTTTGACACAAGATAGAGAATTGAGGAAGCTTTTAAATGCCACTGAGGTTGAACAATGATCTGATTAAAGGTTATGCTTGTTTTACTGAATAGTGGTTTGTATGACACGCGAGTAGAAACGTCGAGCTGATACCATGGTGTCGACTGATACCATGGTGTCGACCGACACCCCTCCTAACGTGTTTTTATCAACTTCCAAAGTGCAGATGACTATAAACTTTTCCTTATTTATAAAAGTGTTCATAACGTGTTTTAACTTATATTATATGTTTCTATGTAATTTTGACAGCTAATATTTGTTTTAGTATTGGAGAGATTAGAGAGAAATCCTTTAGCTTCTTCTTTGAATTCATGTTTTAATTCATCTTTAATGTCTAGTTAGACTATTATTTGTGTTATTAATTTCATGTTGGTGTAGATCAATTGTTAGATTTTGGGATTTTTTTAGGATTATGATAAACTGTTGATTTACAGAACCGCTAGTGTTATCTATAATATTCTACACCAGGATTGTTATTTATACTAGCGATGGTCCTCGTCGATATCGACTTCAATAACTTCTTCCTTTAACGGATAATTCTTTTGGATAGGTTTAACGACCATATTGACGAAGGAGATTGCCTTTCAAATTTTTACCTTGGTGACCGAAAAGTTCCTTGCTTCTTTCTGATTTTCTCTAAGGGTTAGTATCAACCCATCTTTACAAGCGAACTAGATGCATTGATAGTAACTCGATGGAATTTCCTTCATCAAATGAATCCATGGATTTGAGGATTGCATTCTCAAGAGCATGTGTGTTGATGACAGAAATTTTACGAGCCGCCTCACTCCTTTATCAAACATATTTAATCATATCGTGACGAGCCTTCTTTCGGAAGATCCATTGAAACTAGTGAGCGATTGAGTTGAGGGTTTCATTTCCTGAAAGTTGATTCCCATCCTTTTAAGTGTATTTGAAAATGAGATCAACAGAGCTGCCGATATAAATAAGAATCTGAGTAATTTCACAGTTTATGATTCCGACTTCTACCAGAAAGAGATTGTTATGAGGTTCCAGAAGGGCTGCTCGGAGGAGGCTGAAGTTTTCCCACGGCATCTTTTCCCAAACCTTCCATTGATTCTCTCCCACCACTACAGCGGCCGAATCTGGTTTCTCGTCCTTGGAAATGGTGTAGATAATATTTCCTCTTTTAACCGCTTTGTTAAATAATGAGTGTTGTCGTGGATCTTGGTAAGTTTCTACCGTTTTTTCGCGCTATGTTTGGTCAGAAATGCCCGCATGTGTTCCTTAATCGTGATGAAACTGTTTGCACTGTGGAGGTAGTCTTGCAGAGTTATAGTCTTGTTCACATAGAGGTCATCCCGGAACTTGGAATTTATCCAGTGTGCATTACGTAGAGCCTCCATTGTCTTGTCGTCTGGGACATGTACTAGGGACCACCTGCTTGAACTTATACATTAATACTCCGAGCCCCTCATTGGGAGCTTAGGACATCTTCAATAAGTCGGACAGCAAAGCTCCTTGACGAATGGAAGCTATTTACTGTTTCATGAATTTAATTGATATTATGGAAGCTTGTTCGTTTGACGGATTTTGACCTCGATGATACTCTTCGTAAAGGGGGTTTTCAGAGTCGCGGCAAATATGCACTCAATTTACAGATCCGAGTTCGTTACTTTGTGGATCTTTGAGTTGATATACTGCATCGAGTTCCAAAATTTGGCGAGTTGTTGGATTGTATTTGTTCTCCTCACTTAGCAGCCATAGGGTTTTTGGTATGGAAAAGTTGTCTTTTTATCAACGCAGAACCGCTGACATCACCAGCTTTGACTTGATTGCAGTGATTAATGTGCCAATACGCTCTTTAGTTTCTTTATATTTTTTTGCTGAGGAAAGAGATTCATGATGCTTTTCATCATTTCCAACGGTCAAGTCGTCAACACTCATGTCGATTGTGGGAACCGAAATTCACCTACTGTCAAAATATCATAGATAAGGGAATTTAGAGTAAACCATAATTTCCCAGAGGACCCGGCTATCTGCGGAACCGCACATAAGCAATTAAGAACATGACGAGATTAAGTAGAAAGAAAATAAAAAAGAGATTGAGAGCAAGAAGGAGTCTTATTTCGAATTCGCGTAAGAACGGTACAACAAGAGTAGCGTTAGCTGCGTGAGCCGTCGGCGAGATTCTTAAACCTAGCAATCTAAGACTAAAACCCTAGTTGAGACGCAGCTTGATAACGAAAACGGAAATATTCCTAAATACAGAGTTTGGTGGTGAAAGCTCTGAAAACCCGTCCTCTGCTTCTGTCCTCTGCCTCTTGCTTATATACTCCCTTCCTATGCAGTTTAGTCCTTCCATTTCGCTCAGATTCAAGTTTAGCGGGAATCTTTCATTTATCTTTATCTTTCCTTTTTTCCCGCGGAAATCTTCTATTTATCCTCAAACTTGACATTTATCTTCTTTCTGCGTGTAAATCGTCAAAACGTCGTCGTATCTTCGGGTTGAACTTCGTTTAAAGTTGCGAGTGGGCTTTTATCGTGTTTTAGGACTTTCCGAGCCGTTTAGTGATAAAACCGTTTTACGACTTTAGACGAGATCGTTTCCTGATACGATGCCGTTTTTAAGTAAGTTTCTCGAGTTAATCGTAAAGTTTGGAAATGTTCGATGTTTCGGTTAATCGTTGCCGTTTTCTACGATTTACTCGAAGTTTTATTAAAAACGTGTTTTTTACGATTTGTCACCAAAAATCTCGAGTAAATCGTATAGTTTAGGAAATGTTCGGTGCTTCGTTTAACCGTTGCCGTTTTATACGATTTCCTTGAGTTCTTTCGAGATAACTAGACTTTACGCTTTTTATCGTAAAACTCGAACGATAGGACGGATCGAGATGAAACGAGAGACATTTCGATCGTGGTTTGGAACATGATCGTGCGAAGAATGTATGCCTTGAATCGAAGACGTGGGAGATTGAGGCTCGGGATAATCAGCTCAACGTACGTCGAGCCCAACCGGATCGGTTCAGCTCGCCGTACAGCGAGCTATCCTAGGAACGACTAGCTCGCCGTACGGCGAGCTATACGGGATGTGCCTAGCTCGCCGTACGGAAAGCTAGGCTGGTCGAGATAGCTTGCCATACGGCGAGCTAGTTTGGCCGAACCAGCTCGCGGTTTATGGCAGATGCGGTTTTTCGCGGTTTTGTGCTTAACTCGGACGATCGTGTAATCGGCGTTTGTTTCGTTTTTCCGAGATAACGATTTCCAATTTTCGCGGATTCCCTTTTTATTGGAAACTTATTAGAATTTTATAAAACGACTTCTCGAGTTTTATAAAACGACTTCTCGAGTTTTATAAAACGACTTCTCGAGTTTTATAAAACGACCTCTCGAGTTTTATAAAACGAATTCTCGAGTCTTATAA